ATGGCCTAGAAAGCATACCAGAGTCATGTTAGGGCATTTTTAAGCCATTTTTACGTGTTGGCCTAAAATACCGAACTTGTAAAAGTTAGGCCACCATTTCAAAATAGCCTAGAGAGCATACCAGGGTCATGTTAGGGCACTTTTAAGCCATTTTTACGTGGTGGCCTAACTTTTGCAAATTTGGTTTTCTAGGCCACCACTTCAAAATGACTTAGAAAACACGCCAGGTTCATGTCAGGCCATTTTTACGTGGTGGCCTAGAAAACCAAACTTGGAAAAGTTAGGCCACCACTTCAAAATGGCCTAGAAAGCATACCAGAGTCATGTTAGGGCACTTTTAAGCCATTTTGAAGTGGTGGCCTAGAAAACCAAACTTGGAAATGTTAGGCCACCATTTCCAAATGGCCTAGAAATCATACCTGGGTCATTTCAGGCCATTTCTAGGCCATTTTCACGTGGTGGCCTTGAAAACCAAATTTGGAAAAGTTAGGCCACCACTGCGACTCGAAAATTTTTTCGATAAATTTTCGAAAAATGTGTCGAAAAAATCCTTGATGAATTCCTCGAAAATGTTTTCGGTACTTGAATGATTCCAAGCGAAGTAGCTCATTTAGATGAATTTGTACAAAAATATGTCAACCACGGAATTGAAGCTTTATTTTTGTTTAATATATTGGAAAATTTGCAGTTCTATTCAACAAAATCTACAATGCTTCTCAGACATTCATAGTTGACCATTTTCAGCGAAAATTTGATTGAATTAATGGATTTTAACTGGTATTGTAGGAAATTCAAATCAAGACTTTATTCGGAAATACTTTTGAAGTAGCTTTGACAGAACTGAACCGAATTCTATAAAATTTTAAAATTACAAAAAAAAATTAAAATTACAATTTTGTAAACATTCATTTCGCACTCATTTGTAGGATCGGCGGCCTAAATTAAAAACGAAAAGCAAAAGTTATACTCATCAATTTTTCATTTTCAGGAATTGGATCCGAATCCGAAAAAAAATTGCGGAACCACGCCATACTGTTTGATCAAGCCCTCAGATCGGGACATTCTTTGGGTAATTTAACTTTTCAAAGTTATTGCTTTTCAGCTTTAGAGAATTATGGGAGCTTCTAAGGAACACTTTAATTTTTTTTCGAACGTTGAGGGACGCCCCCAAGCCACCTAGAGAGTGTGTTTGGGCATGTGGGTACAGAAATTTAACTATAAACTGCAAAAGGTGTCGTCATAAGCTCTCATATTCATTAAGTTTTCAAACTTTCCATGAAATTTGAAAAACCAACTTTCAGGTGATGTGTGAGCTTTGCAATCAGTGGTTCCACTGTTTTTGCGTCATACTGAAAAATCGGACTACCGATTGGAATGGTAAACCTTTTCTTTGTTGCGGGAATATGCGTGATCGCCGAACGGACTGCGCCAGGAGAGGGAAAGTCTTCAGACGCTATGCATCATTGAAAAAAAGATCCTGGGGAAACCACCCCACGCCTCAGAACACTTATGTGCAGTCATCCTGATTTTCATGTATCTTGCATCCCTTCCTAAATTGTTCTGTTTCTATTTTTTGTTTCTCCCCACTCCAGTTCAAATTTATCTTCTCTGAATATTTTTAAAATTCTAATATTCAAAACATCCAGAATCCCAGAACATAGAACTTCTCCAATTCCCCAACCACTTTTCTGACACACCCATCATATCTTCCCCGACTCCACTTTCGTTCTCCAAGATTCCTTTGTCTCCTCCATCCCGACTCCCATCATCTTTAATATTTATGACACCCAGTGCATTTTCCTCGATTACGACTTCCACTCTTTCCACCCAACAAAAATTTTCGAACATTATCCAATTTTCGTATCTGCTTGTTTTTTTTTTAAATTTCTCTGATTAAATTTGAGAACTGTACACTTGAAGTCTTTGTCCCATCTTTACTTATCCACCTTCTACGTATCAGGTTTTTATGTCATAGTATGAAAGATAAATATTAAACTTATTCGGCGCCACATTTCTTTGCCAAAAATATATGGCAAAAAAATCTGAACTAATCTGAAAATCTACGTTTTTCAGTAAACTTATGGTTTAAAGTTTGAAAAAAGTAACGGATCTGGCCGAACAGATTCCAGATGAGCATATTAGTTTTAAGTATCGTATTTCCTTTTCTTTGGATGTGCATTTTTCTTTTTTGCTTAAAATCATAGTTGCAAAGGCCGGGCCGGGCCAACCGTAACCACACAACTCATGTGCGTGTAGACGAGTGAGATTTTTAGCTTTGTTGTAATTCTAGTTTAGACGTCTCCAAAATCAAATTTCACGAACATTAAGATCCAAAGACTATTTAGAAGTCCCGAAATAAAATAAAGCTCCAAAAAACAATCCGAAGTTTCGTAAAAATGAAGATATCCCAAGAAAAAATAGAATGTTATCCGTTATGTCTCTCACCCACTTTTTTGTTTTGAGTCGTTCGAAAAGTACGTTTTTCAAACAAAAAAAATTGATGCTCCCAAGACACGAAGGGGAATCAACGGAGATAATGAAAAATTGGCGGAGACAGAGAGAAATCTTACTGAAGAAGCAGAGGATGTTAGGAAAAGGACCACAGATACGTTATGTGGCACCCATACTACTCTCCTAGCTCTTTCAACTGTTAGATCTATGAGCTTTTTTTTAAGGATTTAAAATTCTAAAAGTTGATTCCAAGGTTTCAAGATCTTAAGATTTCGAGATTAAGAGATTTCAAAGTTTTCAATTCTTTTAGTTTTTTCAATTCTTAGGTCTATGATGCTACCTTTTTTTCTAAAGATTGTTGAGTTTTTAAAATTTTTTATGTGTTTTTTTTTAAATATAAAAATCTCAGAGTTAGAGATTTCAAGATTACCATATCTTTAGATTCAAAGATTTAGAGTTTTCAAGCTTTTGTGATTCTAAAATTTATACTTATAAAAACCTTGCAGATTTTAAGATTCTAAAGTTCTAAGATTCGTCTTCTGTAAAACTCGACATCCGGCCTATTGTCCACTCATCAGAAAAATTCAATTTTATTCAATGAATTGAATTTATAATAAGTGAAACATTAATATTATAATTAGTAGGGCACACTCGGTACTGAACGCGATCACCAAATTCGGTCAAAAATGATTTTTTTGCATTTTTTTTCTTGATGATATATTAGTTCCGCATCTTCATTGAATAATCTTCTATTCTTCCAATACTCCTTTTTTAAATAGCCGTTCTTTTTTGAATACTTACCATTTTATGTTTGCTTTTGATGAGTAAGAAAAACAGACACGTCAAAGAGACCCGCCCCGTGCCCATTGAGTGCAAGAATGGGATGAACCTCTTTGAATTGTTCTTTAAACATATTCAAAATTTTCTACATTGTAAGTTTGGAACCAGATGAGCTAGGATCTTAAAGTTTCGTTTGAGCATGTTTTTCGCGTAAACGTTTACAAGTATTATGAATTCTTTTGATAAATTCTGAGCAATTCAGATCTTTGTATTTTCCAAAGCTGAACTTTAGGCTAAAAAAATCAACTATTACCAGATCTTCAATTTTGGTTTCAAATTTAAAAGTTAGCGTCAAAACTATTATTTTAAATTGACTGTAGGATACAGTTATTAATTTTACTGCTCTACACTAACGAACGAAAAAACATCAGTTTTTAGATTTTTTCGTAGAGTCAACTTTGAAGTAGTAAAAAACATTCTGAAATTCAATAATTCTTCTAAAGATTTCATATATTTTCATACTTGCGAAAATCGTTAAAGGCCCGGACTGGCCCGGAAGGCCCGGAAGGCCCGGACAGGTATTTTTTTGGTCGAAATTTCCCAAAAAAAATTTTTTTTGATACATTTTCGAGAATTTTTCAACAAAAAACTAGTTTTTGAGAAAAAACTGTTATTTTGCCTCAAAAATGCAATTTTTTCTTTGATCTCAATTTTGGAAAAATTCAGGAAAAAAATTAATTCCCAAAAATTTGTTTAAACATTTACAAATTCAATATTCACAATTTACCTTAAAATTAGATGATAACAACAACTTTTTTCCAAAAGAAAACACACTTTTTTGCCAAAAAATCGAAGCTGGTGCCAACTGGCCGGGCCTACCGGGCCTCCCGGGCCGGGGCCGGGCCTTGACAAATTTTTCCCAGGCTCGGCCCGGCCTGTCGCAACTATGTATATTTTCCCCTTAAAAATATCAAAACAGGTTATCTTTTCCCGTGGTACGTAGCTTGTCTGGTTTCAAAGTTACAACCAAAAAAAAAACATGTTTTTGTCCGTTACTATTAGGGTGTTCAGTAAATAATGTCGTTTTTCGGTACCATCTTTCAAACGAAGGTAACTTCAGCAAAACTTGTGTTCATCAAACAATTTTCAGTTTTTGAGCCGTCATGATTGCAAAATGTGAAATGGAGTTGTTGTCGAGTAGGACTGTGCTATTTTTTTTTTTGAGCAGTGCACGTAATTTGGACAACAAATTTTTTCAAATTTTGTCAAATGAAAACCGCAGTGTTAGCTTTTCATCTTTTCAGGACGTTATAATGAAAAAAACTAAAAGCCCGTCATCATACAGTCACCATAACCTTGTTTTGGTGAATTTCTGGCTTTGTGAGATGTTGCACCTTCTGGATTTCGACCACATATGACACTAATTGCATTTTGTTGTAGTATAACAACCTTTCTTCGTCATACGTCACAATTCGATCCAAAAAATGATCATTTTTCTATCGTATGAGATGGTCTCGCAAGCTATAGTAACGTTGCAATTTTTGGCGATTGTTCAGTTCATGAGAGAGCCATTTATCTGGTTTTTTGTATTCTCAATTTTTTATATATGTCTCGAAATTGTTCCTATACTGACTCCAAACGCCGCCGAAAGTTCCCGGACAGTAGATCTAGGATCCTCTTCCACCACACTTCATTATTCCTTCCACGATCCTTTTTTTCTTCGAGAGGTGTATCTCCACATGTGAATTTTGTGAACCATCGTTGTACAGTTTTTTTGTTAGCACTTTTTTTGCAAAAGCACGGTTTATATTTTCGGTTGTCTCGGTTGCATTTTGGCCGAGAACGGGCTCTTATTAAAAAGCAGCCAAAAATCCATTTTTTTTTCATGATTTCTCCTCGAAGAACCGAGAACATTATGACACATGTTAGGTAAAAATTTTTGACAACTTGATTAGGTGTGTAGGAAACAAAAAAATTTTGATATTAGAACGAGCCATGGCAGAGAAAATTGCGCACAAAAAAAAACGACATTATTTACTGAACATCCTAATATATCAGTCTATCATCCGATGTTTCGGTAATTAGTGAAACACTGATGTTATAATTAGTTGGCCCCACCCGGTACTCTTAACGCAATGACCGTTTTGGTCGAAAAAAGAAGTTTTGTTTTTTTTTCTTTGAATACTCTTCTGTTTGTCAAGTACTCGCTTTTTATGAATGATCATTCTTTTTTGAGTACTCTTCTTTTCTGAATTCTTACCAATTTATGGGTCAAAAAAAGAGCACGACAAAGAAACTTTCCTGCTCCATACATTTCGTCGGAAACTGTGAATATAGACTGAACAGCATATAAACGCAATAAATACTATTTTGAAATGTCAATAAACTAACACTATTCGATACCGCTATTGTTTCCTGATTTTGGAAATTTTGAAAAAATCGGAAAAATGATCCGAAAAAAAGGGACAAAATTATAAGTATACTCATAATTGTGCCTCGTTTTTTGGCCAGCTTATACTGAAAATTAAGCTTTTCGTTGATAACTGTCCAGAAAATCATGAAGACTCTAATTTTTTGAGTGTTTTGATATTACTCACAAACGCATTGCTCATTTAACTATTGAAAACTTTATGATTTTTTCACCAACCGGAAAAAAACCGGCGTTTCAGCTCATTTTTATCGCTATGCTCCGAGTGGTACTGTACCTTGCACAGTAGACGCTTGACTGTGCTGATTGACATATAAGAAAGATACACTTGTGTTTATTCAGAAACATATATAAAATCATGGAAACCTTTATTTGTGTTCATGGAATCACGCAACTTTTCGGACAACATAAATTTAAAGCGGAAAATTGGGTTACGGGTAAACATGTTTAAGGAGTTGTTTTGTAAGGAAGGTCCCACGTAATCTGAATTTTTTCTGTAATCACACTTGCCTGTTCTTGAATTTACATATAAACTAGGAAGCTTGTTCAAGCATTCCGGTATAGACAAACAATGAACCCTGGAAAACTGCAAACTTTTGAAAAAAAATGACCTTTTTCCGATCTCTCAATTTTTGTTTAGAAACAGTTTCACCTATTTCAAATTTGCTGAACTCATTGGAGAAAAAAAATATCCGAAAATAAAATATCTAAAAAGTTCCATTTTGATAGGTCCACTTCAAACAAAAAAAAACTCAGTAATCAAAAATTCAAAAATTCAAAACTCAAAAATTCAAAATTCAAATTCAAAACTCAAAAATTCAAAATTCAAATTCAAAACTCAAAAATTCAATAGTCTACGTTTCTAACCGTACATGGAATGACTCTTAAGTGTTTCCCTCGGAAAAATTGAGATCTATTTGGTTGAAAAGAGCGGGAAAAGTTATCCTAGAATGCAAACGGAATCGTTGGTAATAAAAAATTAAAAATGAATTTCCCGAAAATATGAAAATCCGATGACGAATTAGATGCCCCGAAAAAAAATAAAGCTTCAAAAACAATTGGAGGTTTCAAAGAAACGAAAATATCCCAAGAAAAAATAGAATGTTGTCTTTCGTGTCTCTCACCCGCTACTTTGCTTTGAGTCGTTCGAAAGTACGTTTTTGCAAACTGATGCTCCGAAGACACACAAGACAGTTAAGACAATGAGAAGTCGGCGGGGACAGAAGGAAATCTTACTGAAGAGCTGAGGATGTTAGGAACGGGCCCACAGATACGTCATGTGACACATAAACTACTCTCCTAGTTTTTTTTCAGTTATTCATTGTACGGTATAAGTTTTTTTCAAGAATTTAGGATTCCTATATACAGAGATTTCAAACTTTTCGGATTCTAAGATTTAGGGATTCAGAGATATCAAGATTTTGAGGTTCTAAAATTTAGATATTTCAAGCTTGTAAGGTTTAAAAATGTTTAGATTTTTAAAACACATTCTCTGTAAAACTCAACATCCGCCCTATTGTTCACTCTACAGAAAAATTCAATTTGTTTCAGTGGTTTGATTTTATAATCAGTAAAACATTGATATGATAATTAGTTGGACCCATGCGGTACTGTCAACGCGAACACAGAATTCGGTCAAAAAATATATTTTTTTTTGAGGATATAAAAATAGTTATGTATCTTCTTTGGATACTCTTCTATTTTCCAAACATTCGTTTTTTGAATAGCCGTTTTTTTTATTCTTACCATTTCATGTTAGCAAAGCAGTGATATTTCCGATCGAAAAAAATTGTGTTTTTTTTTCTTTGAATACTCTTCTGTTTGTCAAGTACTCGCTTTTTATGAATGATCATTCTTTTTTGAGTACTCTTCTTTTCTGGATGCTTACCTATTTATGGTCAACAAAAGGGCACGACAAAGAGACTATCCTGCTCCATACATTTCGAATACAAGAAAAAAACGCCACTCTCCGACTTGTAGTCAGTCTCATTCTATTTTTCGTTAGACCTTGATCTAGCTGTTTGTCAAAAAATTTCTATGTTGTTTTCATTGACCCCATATAAACGGCCCTTTATAACTAAACTTGCTCTTTCTCGCTCAAGTTTCAAAAAATTGTCTAAAGTACTGAGAATCATAATTTTCAGATGGTTCACCATATCGACAGAGAAATGGTTCGTATTTTGGAAAAGCTGTCAAAAGAGCACAAACTCAACTCACTCTTCCCGTAGTTGTAGATTTGACTGTAGAAGTGTTGAAGGTAAATCGTATCTACCCCGGTCTGCCCCGCTGGATAAGAGAATCACTAAATACAGTTTTGAAAATGGATCTCATCAATTCCGATTACGGAATCAAAAGTAAACTGATCAGGCTTGTGAACAAACGCGGGATGGTCACGGAGGGAGAGATGGTTGAATTGAAGCAAATGGCGTTCGAAATGGTGTCGACAATGAGTGAAAGCGAGCTGGAGGAATTCAAAATCAAAATCACGGAAAAAATCGAAGTCGCTGACAATGTGTTGAAGACAATGGAGGAAACAGGAGGAATGTTGCCGGTCTACCTGGACGTGGAGAACACGTACAACTTTCTGGGGGAGCGACACTGAAGATCGAAGAAAATGCAAGGAGTGGCGGCGTTAGTGATAATCTTGGACCCAATCAACAAGAAAGTACTACTTTGGCGACTTCATAAAACATCTGAGCTTGATACCGTGAGAGATAGACTGAAAGAATTGAGTCTCTACCGGAACATATTGACCTGGGGCGAAGAATCCATTTTGGAAAGGATCCAGAATAAGAAAAACATCCAACTAGAGAAGTTCGGAAAGTTGGTCTCCCTGAAGTCGGCGGCCGAGGAAGCAGGCATGTACTCAAGCTCGAGACGATGAGTAACTGGACCAATGAGATTCTCCGTCAAGATCAGATACGCCGCGTTGGACTGTTTGGCGATGGTTCGGATTGTTGAGCATTTCAAGATTCCAGTTTCAGGAGGTAAGATTTTTACTAGAACTATTACTATTTTCGGAAACCAATGCACGATAAGAGCGGATACCTCATTAAATTTTTCTTGGAGGCACAAGAGTAAACTATCGTATCTTTCCAGCCTATTTTAAATTTTTTTTCTCTTTTCTCAATTATTGACAATTTTCATCATTTATGACTTTCTATTCAATGTTCATCGAGGAAAAAAAGTTATTGTCGAAAAATTATTATACAATTTCATCTAATAGAAACCCATGGGCTTCTGCGCTTCAATTAGAGGTGGGCTTCTATAAGAGTGTGGGCTCCTATTCTTCAATGGTTTATTTTCAAAAAAAATATTATACAAAAATTCAGAAATTAGAAAATTCGGAAGATAAGACTTCTGAAATTTAGAGTTTCGTAGAACTCCAAATCTTCATTCTGCAATTCTGAATTTCAAAGTTTCGAATTTAGGAAATTCTGAGATTACAGGATCTCAACGTTCAAAATTCAGGAATTCTGAAGTTCCGAAAAAAAAAGAAATTTAAAAAATCTTAAATTCCGAGATTTAGAAAATAGGAGTTTCAGAAATTGAAAAATTATCGGGTTCTAAAATCACAGTTTCAAAAATTCCGGAATTTGGAATTACCTTATTTTCTTTAATGGAAACCCATCGGCTTCAATTTTTCGAAGCGCCTCGCGGGGTGGGCTTCTATTAGAGGTGAGGTTCAAATAGAGAGTGCTTCTATTAGAGGAAATACGGTATCCGCTCTCAACTTGCATTGATTTCGGACAACAGCACGAGTAGTACCATAGAGTTTCCATTTTCAGACCTCACAAAACAGAAGCCATCTTTGGATTTCACCTGTCTCTAGTTTCTTCTTCTTTGGACACCTCAATTTTCGAACTTCCTTTTTTTTTTTTTGAAACCTTACCATACCGTTTCCTCTCAGTGTGTCTATTTTTTCTTACGCTTTTTCATTTTCCTACAATCTCTTGCTCTTTTTTGAATTGATTTTATTTCATATTGAAACCTCTCATATCGGTTTTTCCATAATTTTTTTCTAAAGTAATTCTTTTTTTCATTAATTTTCATAATTTTTTTCTTCATCACCTTCCATCTTTCCTTCTTATCTTTCTGAAATTTTTTTGTTATTCTCCGTTTAAAACTGTAGAAATCAAATTTTCCTATTCATTTTTTTAATCGTCATAGCAAATTTCTTTGTCGTTTTCCTCCTTTTTTCTTATTTCAGCTTGCTTCTTCTCATGACCACAAACCTTAATTTCATTTATCTTAATTTTTCTGCTTTCATACTCCATTAAAATTAGAACAAAGAAGTTCAAGGAAACATTTTTTGACTAAATAAAACTCTTTTTGAAATAATTACAATGAAATTTGTAAATGAAGTTCATTCATTGTATGTAAATGAAGCTTCCAGAAAGACTGACTAGAGAAGAAGGGGCCATTGCCAAGGAGAGACGCGTTGCGTTTTAGCATTATTTTTTCCATGTGGTTACTGTAACCACACATCTCATGCGGGTGAAATGTTTCAACTTTGTTGTAGTTCTAGTTTAAAATTTTTGTCTCAAAAAATAAAATTCCAAAAGAATATAGAAGTCCGAAGACAAATTAGATGTCCCAAAAAAAAAGCTCCAAAAAACAATCCGAAGTTTCGTAAAAATGAAGATATCTCAAGAAAAAATAGAATGTTATTCTTTCTGTCTCTCACTCACTATTTTTCTGTGAGTCGTTCGAAAAGTACGTTTTTCAAACAAAAATAAAGATTGATGCTCCCAAGACACGAAGGGGAATCAACGGAGATAATGAGAAATCGGCGGACACAGAGAGAAATCTTACTGAAGAAGCAGAGGATGTTAAGAAAAAGACCACTGATACGTTATGTGGCACCCATACTACTCACCTAGCTCTTTCAACTGTTAGATCTATGATATTAGCTTTTTTCTGAAAATTGTCGAATTTTAAAAAAATTTACATGTTTTCCATTTTACAGAATTACTGTTTACAGGATATTATTTTCAAAATTACCAGATTTTGAAATTCTAAGATGTAGAGTTTTCAAGCTTTTGAGATTTTAAGATTTTTATAAAATGGTTCTGTATCTTCTTTGATTACTCTTCTATTCTCCAAATACTCTTTCGGTACCCCTGGAGGGTCCTTCTATCACAATTAAAAGGGGTTCTTCTATTTTTCCGGCCATTTTCCGAAATATTTTATCGAAAAATTCGGTGAATTCTCGATTAAATTTCATGAAAGTGCATTCACCAAAAGTTTTTGAGCAAAAGAAAGTATTTTAACAAAGTTCTATGAAATTTTGAAAAATTCAGTTCCGAACAACAAATTTTGAAAGGGTCCCTTCTGTGAAAGGTAATACAGGTTTTACAGTGTATCAGACTTCGAAAGTCATTCAGACTTTGAAAAGACGAAGAAAAATCAAGAAAAACTCAAAAAACGTTTGATGATAGAGTTGAAAATGTACTTTTGTGATGAGTTTCTGTAGGAAAATAGCGCCGAACAATAAAGTAAAATGGCCATCAAATAGAGTTTTTACGGCATTTTAAATTGACTGTAGGATAAAGTTTTTGATCTTAAGACTCTACACTAACGAACGAAAAAAATGTCGGCCATTGGATTTTTCAGTAGAGTCATCTTCGAAGTCGAAAAAAAAATATTCTGAAATTCAAATAGTTCTATTTTCTTTATTGAATACTCTTCTGTCCTTCGAGCACTTTCTTTTTTAGGACAGATGGAAATCTTACTGAAGAAGCTGAGGATGTTAGGAACGGGCCCACAGATACGTCATGTGACACATAAACTACTCTCCTAGTTTTTTTTCAGTTATTCATTGTACGGTATAAGTTTTTTTCAAGAATTTAGGATTCCTATATACAGAGATTTCAAACTTTTCGGATTCTAAGATTTAGGGATTCAGAGATATCAAGATTTTGAGGTTCTAAAATTTAGATATTTCAAGCTTGTAAGGTTTAAAAATGTTTAGATTTTTAAAACACATTCTCTGTAAAACTCAACATCCGCCCTATTGTTCACTCTACAGAAAAATTCAATTTGTTTCAGTGGTTTGATTTTATAATCAGTAAAACATTGATATGATAATTAGTTGGACCCATGCGGTACTGTCAACGCGAACACAGAATTCGGTCAAAAAATATATTTTTTTTTGAGGATATAAAAATAGTTATGTATCTTCTTTGAATACTCTTCTATTTTCCAAACACTCGTTTTTTGAATAGCCGTTTTTTTTATTCTTACCATTTCATGTTAGCAAAGCAGTGATATTTCCGATCGAAAAAATTGTGTTTTTTTTTCTTTGAATACTCTTCTGTTTGTCAAGTACTCGCTTTTTATGAATGATCTTTTTTTTGAGTTCTCTTCTTTTTCGAATGCTCACCTATTTATGGGTCAAAAGAAGGAGCACGCCAAAAAGACTTTGCCGCCCCATACATTTTGAATACAATAAAAAGATGACACTCTTCGGAAAGAGACCACAGATAAGTTATGTGGCACCCATACTACTCTCTTAGCGTTTTCAATTGTTAGATCTATGATAGTGGCTGTTTTCTAAAGATTGTCGATTTTGGAAAAATGTTGTATATTTTCCATTTTTCATGTTTAAAAATTTTAAGGATTTAAAAATCGCAGAGTTAGAGATTTCAAGATTACTAGATTTTGAGATTCTAAAATTTAGAGTTTTCATGCTTTTGAGATTCTAAGATTTAAAGATTTCAAACTTTGCGGATTATTAGATTCAAAAATTCAAAAATTCTTTTCTGTAAAACTCAACATCCGCCCTGTCCACTCTACAGAAAAATTCAATTTGTTTCAACGCATAGATTTCACAATTAGTAAAACAGTGATGTTTTAATTAGTTGATCCGATCCAGTACTGTCAACGCAGTGATCGTTTCGATCGAAAAAATAAATTTTGGACCCGCACGGCACTGACAACACGATCACTGATTTTGGTAAAAAAATGATTTTGTTTTTTTTCGAGGAGTTGATAGTATCGTTTTTCTTTGAATACTATTTTATTCTTCCAATACTCTCTTTTTTGAATAAAATTTCTCTTTCGAGTAATTTTTTTTGAATACTTTCCATTTTATGTTTGCTTTTCCTGACTCAGAAAGACAGACACGTCAAAAAGACTTTCCCACCACCGTGCCTTTTGAAAACGTGGAAGAGATGACGCTCTTCTAAATGGTTTCATACATATTCAAAATTTTCCTACAATATAGATAATTTTCCTTGTTTTCTTCAAATTTTTATAGCTCAGTACCGGACAAAAATTTTCGAGATTTTTGGTGTTTCTGTAACTTCAAAATCAGACGAGCTTCACATTTTTTGATATTTTTCGAAGCATACATTTTAGAATTCAAAAAATCAATTTCAAATAATCTTCAAATTGGATTTGAATGAAATATTTAGCTCCAACACGATTACCGTAAAAACTCTATTAGAAAGTCTTTTTTGTAACTTTGGAACCAAATGAGCTAGGATCTGAAAATTGTTCTGATATCAGCTTTTGGATTTTTCAGTAGAGTCATCTTTGAAGTCGTGAAAAACATTCTGAAATTCAATAATTTGTCTAAAGATTTCATATATTTTCCCCCTAAAAATATCAAAATAGGTTATCTTTCTCCGTGGTACTGTAGCTTGTCTGGTTTCAAAGTTACAAAAAAAACAAAACATGTTTTTGTCCGTTACTATATCAGTCTATTATCCGATGTTTCGGTAATTAGTGGAACACTGATGTTATAATTAGTTGGCCCCACCCGGTACTCTCAACGCAATGACCGTTTTGGTCGAAAAAAGAATTTTTTCTTCTGTCATCCAAGTACTCCTTTTTAGTAAGAACCATTATTTTTCCTCACTATACCTTGATCCTTCCAGTTGTACGCTCATTCATCATCCGGAAATGATAGTTGAAAGAAGTGTGCTTGAGATCCATGAGCAGATCTTCAAAGAACTTAATGGATATCTGAAAAAAGGAAAAAACATGTCGGCTGCGTGTTTGATCAGCATGATATTGTATGCTGTGCAGTTTGGAGGTATTGAAGAGGCATTGGGAGGACTCTTCAAAGCATTGGTGGTGCGGAATTGTATGGAGGCCCCCTCAAAATTGGTTAGAGCGGTGATCGCTTTGATCGCAATGAAAAACGACGGCGGAATAGTTTTTAAACGAACTCGGAAGATGGTGAAGGATGGTTTGAAGGAATTGCCGAATCTCTACGCTTACAAAGAATTTGCGCCAACTCCTTCAAACGTTTGGATCGACAAAGCTAACTTTGACATAAGAGTTCGCGATACTTATGAGGATGGAAAAAGATGTCTAGGAAACTATTTTTGGAAAACTTTGTTCACAAAACCGATATACGTGGATACTGAAAACGCATATAAAGTTATACCACATGGCTCGAAAACAGCGCTGGTGACGTTCTGTGATGCGGACATGAAGACCGTTCTACTTTGGAGAATCCACAAGCACACACGGAAAGAGGTGGAAAACATGAAAAAGTTGATGATTGAACTTTCGAAGATTCGAAAATTTGCGGCATTCGGGAAGGAAGAGTTTTTTGATCCCATCCCACTAGCTGATTTCGCGAGCGGTGGAACTTCATTAAAGTCACTCGCAATGTCACATGGAATTGAAATCTCGAAGACAGAGACGATGAGCGACTGGACCGCGGAAGAACTGAGGGATGATCAAATGCAGTATGCAGCATTTGATGCCGTGGTGCTACACTTACTCCACCAAAGAGTAGACCCAATTTCATCCGAGGAAGTGTCTCAAAGACGAATGATGAAGAGACGAAGAAGAAAAAAAAAAAAGTTCTCCTTCTAAAATGTAAGTTTTTGAATACTCCTGTTGAAATTCAAGAATAAAAAAATAATTTTCTCAGGTATCGTTCACTCCATCGCATCTGTATCCTCATCCTTTTCCAACGCCATCTTCTCAACCGCTACATGTTCGACCGGTGAGATGATTTCGTTATTATATAAAAAACTGTAGTAATTTTTTTCTAGTTATTGGACACAGTGGCGCCTCCGTCCCTATGTTCATCCCTGCATTTCGTCATCAACTTCTCAATGGTGGCATATCTCAAATGTGAGATAATCTCTTTATTTTCTTCTCCACCCGCTCCCTCCCTCTATCTCCCATACACACTTTCTCTCTCTCTCTCTCTCTCTCTCTCTCTCTCTCTCTCTCTCTCTCTCTCTCACTCTCTCTTTTTTCTCCATCCCTCTATCTCTCTTTCCCCATCCCTCTATTTACAAGTAAATTTTTTTTTCTTTTCAAACTTTTATTAACAATGTTTATATTTGAAAACTTTTTCAAATGTCTTAATCCCTCGGAGGAATAGACAACACGCCTGGGATCATTGCAAAGACCGTCCTGTTACGGGCTGGATAGGCGTAGACAGTGCCGCGGCAGACTGGGAATTGAAGATGATGGTGCAGATCAGAGATGAGCGGAAGAGATTTACGGAAATTTACGGAAGACGGTTTATCTTCGAAATGAAAAATGCTACCAAACAGCTGTCAACAGACAAAAGTAGATCTCAATAAGAACTATCGATTGGTATAAAAATTGTTTCAAAATTTCGTTGGATTATTTAAATAGAGTCTTTCTTCCGTCTTCCGTCTTCCGTGTGCCAGACGGAAGACGGAACACGGAAGAAACGCCATATCTCAACTCCCCATCACTATTATGGGATAACTTTTATACCAATAAATAACTCTCATTGAGATCTACATTTTGTCCGTTCAAAACTTTTTGGTAGCATTTTTCATTTTGAAAATAAACCGTCTTCCGTAAATTTCCGTAAATCTCTTCCGCTCATCTCTGCTCGAGACACACAAGGTGTAGTGATTTGGAGACCCAGAGAACTCCCTTTGTTTGAACTCGCCTGTAAGGAACAGTCATCAGTGGTAGAACGAAGACAAACTAAACTTTTTTGTAATATTAGTAATTGCTGTGAACATTTATGTAACACAAGGAGACCGTTGTCAAAGAAAAAAAATTGAAAATTTTCGTATTTCCAGATGTTTGTTGAGAAAATATAATTTACATATTCAGGAATTCAGAATTAATGATAGCAATGAGAAAAATGCAAGAATTTTTATGATTATAAATTTTTGAAAACCCCTTACCAAAAATATTAACAAGGGAACCATGTTTAGCCGTCATCTCAGAATTTTTTTCTAAATTTGCTCATTTATAGCTTCGAATACGGGCTTTCTCGTAGTGTTATTATCTGCACAAATTTCTGGAATTCGAGAAAATTCCATCTGAAAATATGCTGTTTTTCTCTCTCTCCTCCTTCCTTTCCACTTTCTCTCCTTTCCTCTATGCATTCTCCACAATGGAAAAAGCGAGCAGCGGTGGCCGAGTGGATAGTGGGGTTGCATAGGAATCACAAATTTGGGGTTCGATTCCGTCATTGTCAATTTAATTTTTCCTTTTTTCTTTGATGTTGGAAGAATGCTTTGCATTTTTTGAAAATCAAATTATGTTTGAAAAAGAAAATCAAAATTATGTTTGAAAATTATGTCAGTCGAAACCTCCCGATTTTATCATATTGGTTGTGGAACAGTGATGAATCTGTCAAGAAGTATGTAAATCTATGATTTCACAAGATTTGAGTGCTATTGGGTGATTTTCGAAGGACTACGATTCATAGAAGTTTCGGAAGAAATCACTAATTTTGGATTTCAAAATGAATATAGACTACAGAATCTTGTGAAAAGACTTATTTTATCATTTTTTAGGCGTTTAGAAGCCATTTCAGCATATTGAAAAATTTTCGAAAAAATGTAAAATTTGCAAAAGGGGGGGGGGGGTACACATGGCAAGCTTTTTTCAAAAAAAGTTTTTTTTTGAAAAAATGAGAAAACTGTCAGATTATAGAGAAACTTTTAAAATTACGATTTACACCCAAAAAATGCCGAAAAACTCTCGTTAACCCTTTCAAAAACTCACTCCAAAAGTGAGAAATTAGTACTGAAATCACTTAAACTGCCCATTACTCGACTTCTAGAAATTTGTGCAGAAAACCAAATACACCACAAAAAAGGTCGTATTCGAAACTATAAATGAGCAAATTTAGAAAAAATTCTGAGATGACGGCTAAACATGGTTCCCTTGTAAGGTATTCTGGTGACTTAAAATGCTTGCGATTTCGGAAAATGGAAAATATATAGTTGCTTTTCATTCTTGTTCACAATTTAAAAACATTGCCTAATTCACCTACAAAAACCTCAAAAAACTCAAAAAAAAAGCTTATAGAACAGCAGCCCAGACTGGGCCTGTCTCCGAGTTCTCGCAAAGTGCCTTTTCTTTTTTACCGGTTACCTGAAGGTATGTGACGATATGTATATCAAAATCTAAATTTCAGGATTTCACTAGTTGACTAACGACACACTCAAGAAGCCTTCTATCTGCCGTTTTCAAGAGACACACACACTTTCATATGTCAAGTCGACCGACACACGGAAGCTACAGTAACCAAATTTTGGAAACGGTCTTCATCGAATTGAAATCTAAAATTCTTTGCGCATCGCCAAACGAGCAGCACTAAACATCTCTTATAACTTTCCGGGTTTTCTTAACTCCAGAGAAAAGCAGGTTTATCTGATCAACTCTGTCTCTCTACCATGTTTCTCGTTTTGTTTCTTTTGTGTATCTGTAATTTGAGCAAATGGGGTGATGAATCCAGCTTCACATCTGAATGGAAGGAACACCCAGAAGTATTTGAGTCTAAAATAACCGTAATCAGAAAATGGAGACATGATGATGTTCGTATTCTAACCACTAAATGTTCGATCACTGAAAATGTCGCAATCTTCTCACCATTATTCGAGGAATTTGATTTTTGTTCCCCAAAAGGAGCCGCATGGAACTTATATCATTATCAGAGCATGAAACTCGGGATGTCAGAGGTCCATGTTTTACTCCTTCAGGTTTTTCTTGTTCTAAAAATAGTATAGTTTTCCTTCCCACTTCATTTGCATCTAAAAAGGTTTTCGCGTAGCCATCTCATAAATCAAAAGTCGTACCAAACCTTCTCACTCCGTCCCGTTTCTTCGGAGTAGATCTATATTCAAATGAGGTAACCGCACCAGTCAGTTTTATCTAAGAGCTTCTATCTTTTTTCCCAATTTCCGGAAGGCGCCTTTTGCTTTCTCCATCAATCACGCTACGGCTTTCTATTTTCGAACCTTCTCGATCCTTTTTTCGGGAGTGGAGCTGTTTTTTTTGTGGTAGAGCTCGAGATTTGGCCCAAGCCACGCCCACTTTGGGACCTTTGACAGACCACGGATTTGCCAATTCAGTCCGTTTTCCAGTGAAAATGAAGTTGGTCTCTCTTCTCCCGATTCTCTTCTTGATTGGAGGAATTGCTGCGAAGACCAATTTCAAGGCCAACGGTACATTCACCTGTGACTACAACGCATGGTGCTTCTTTGTCACTCTTTGGGAAGAGGACATCACTGAATCGTAAGTTGATTTTTTCCTGTCCGAACTCTTTCACATCTACAATTTTCAGTTGGAACGATGTAATCGACAGAATGGGAACCAAATGCGTATTCGGACGGCACTCCTGGGACTACAAGCTTGATGGAAATGAGTACGAGGATGGGCCTTTCGGAGACGTGAGTTCACAACAGTTGATCGAATCATGTTTCAGTTTTAGAATCACAAAAAAATATATCTATTTTTTATTTTAGTCACGATTAATGTATTACAGAAATTCTACGAAGTCTTTCTCTCCGTGCGCCACAACTGCACGAGCTATGGGATTCGTGAAGTGAGAAGTGACACTACATACGAAAGTGTTGATACTGTGTAAGCTTATTCTGTAAATAATGGAACTTCTAAAATTGAAATATTTCAGTGTTTCCTATATCACCTGGGACAAAGATTTGACTGGAGATACAGGAACACCATATAAGGAATTCGTCTGATGCGTCTCCGTATCAGCCTCCCGATTCAATCCAACTTCTCAATTTTCTTGATCCTCAAACAATTTCTTTTCTAACTTTATTTTTCCTTCATTTCGGCTCGCAACTTCTTTTCTGCAACCCTTCCCTAGCATTTAGATTAGATTGATTTTAGATTTTTTGCGAGCCCCGTCCCTTCTCCATTCAAAAGTTGTTCTCGAAATGGTGTTAACTTCTGAATAAAAATGCTCTGTTGAAAGATTTCAAAAAACACATTGAAAAAAAGTGGGAAATTTCAGAAAAATTCAGAAAAATTTCAGGTTTCAGAAAAATAAAAATCAACTAGTTGGAAAGGATGATGGCTCGATTTCGACCCTGAAAAAAAACCGGAAAATCGAAAAAAGAAATATGTTCAATTTTTGTTTGAAATTCCGGGTTGAAGTGATAATTGTTCAAAAGCAAAACGCACCGTAAACACTCTAATAGAAGGTTAGAAGGTCTGACGTTCAACTTTCAGCCCATATATCTCTGTTTCTGTAAAATATATCAACAAGTGGTTAACTGACAAATTGTTTATTATAATATCAGCAAAATTTTATCAAATGACCGTTTTCTGATATTTTTCACAGGAAACGAGATGCATAAGCACGAAGTTGACGGGTTGGGTGGCGTTCTAACAAAGTGTTTACAATGTTTTCGAAGTTCCTTCAGTTTTTGAGATTTTTAGGAGGGTCTCAGAACATTTTTGGATTTTTATATCCAATACAATTTTTCTTATTTAAAATTGTACTTTTAGATCTCAAAAAATTTCTGGCAAATTTTTTTTTCGTAATTGACCAAAAAAAATTAAAATATTTTCTGTATCAAAAATTTTCCGCTCAACATTGCTCCCTTTGTTTGAACTCGGCAGAAAAGAACAGTCATCAGTGGCAGGACAGAGACAAACTAAAACTTTTTTAATGTTAATAATCGCTGTAAAAATTTTTGTAACAAAAAGAGACCGTTTGTTGAGAAAATATAACGTATGTAAATATGGAATTCAAAAATTGATAACGTCATCAGGTAGGTCCTCAGAATATCTTAAAGTTGGCGAGTCGGCGGATAGCCACGTGGACTCGACAACAAAATTCTAATAAAACGGGTGTCAGATGAATTCACACTTCAGATCGTCACTGACCTGTTATTGACATGATTTTAAGAGGCCATGAAAGAATATTGCCCTGGGCATATTCCCCTGGAATTCTCAAAGGGTAAGTTGTTGGATATTTGTGAATTACAATATTTTATAACCAGTTGGACCTCTCTTACTAAGCTTCGTTTCCCTTAGAATTTGTATAGAACTTGTTTTTTTTAAATCAACCAAATTTCTCAAATTTGTTAGTTTCGTAGATTTATACTTAATTATTTGTAAGCAACACAAAAATTGGGTCAAAAATGCTTGGTAAAGTTTTATGAAATTCCACCATGTCGCGCATAATTTAAAAAAATTGATTCTCAACTTTAGAGCGTCATTATAAACTCAAAACAAAGAATAGCATAGACTTGAAGCGCTCTTTAGCTCAAAATACATACTACACACGATTGTAGGCGTCCCAAGTCTCTTTGACTTATGTTAGACACAAGCTTTCCATAGTAAGAAGTAGAAGATTAATTAGGTTTTTAAAAACATGAATCAGGACAAAGTATACGATGATCGAAATTCTGTCTAAGCAGAGATTAGTTTTAGGATTTTTCAATTTTTTTTACATTTTTCACATTTTTTACACATCCCCCACTCCCATTCATTTTCAGCTCTGAGAACAACACAGAATGTACTCGTTCCCATTAACTTAGTTCAGATTAAGCAATCTTAAGTTTTAGACCTTGATCTGACCATTTTCTGTTTTCTGATATAAAATGGGAGATCTATGTGGTTTGTGTCAAGAAAACACAACTTGTGTCAAGAAAACAAAATAGATATTCTCACGGTCTAATTGGGATTAAGGGGGAAAAGAAGTGATAATCCTTTGGAAACCGTGGATGATTCAAAGTGTTACTGCCGCGCCATAGATCTACACACTTTTTTTTGTTATATATTAGTCCATTCTCAAATGGCTCAAGTATTTTGTCTGCCATGGAGCCCGATTGTGCTCCTGGAACTGCAGCAATTTTCTTATTTTCTAGTAGACCATGTGTAGTGTGTGGAAAAGAAGCTTATCATAATAACTTTGGAGTGAGTTTTTTACTTAAAATTTTCATTTTTTAAATGCATGGTTTCAGGCGCTCACCTGTGACGCTTGCAAAATGTTCTTCCGTCGAGCAATTTTATTAGGAAAAGAATACTCTTGCAACCCTGCAGACGGATTTCTCAAGTCTACTGGAATGCATGTCAAATGCTGCTCATGTCGCCTCAAGAAGTGCCTCGAAGTGGGAATGAATCCTCAAAGATTAGCAAAGTTAAAAGTGGAGATTGACGCTAAAACCCGCAAATTAGGAACCACAATGAAAGAACTTTTGTGGAGAGACAAGAAGAGACAAGGCAACCTGATGAATTTCTATTCCACCGATAATTTGAACTTGGAAACGATTGTATGGAATCCCAATTTGGTTCGGAAAATGAGACGAGTTAGTAATTACACTTTTTTCTGTTTCTAGTTGATACAAACGTTTAGGAAATAGTTTGATTTCCATGTTTTTCCAAATCCAAAACCTTTTCATCCAAAAATGTTTTAATCTAATCGGTTATTTTGAAAGTTGAAGAAACTTTAGGACTGAAAAAATTTGGATTTTGAAGAAGTTTGGATTTCGGACAAAAAAATTAGATTTTGAAGTTATTTTGGATTTCAAAACTTGAGAACAATCAAAATCCACAATTTTCTGACCGCATCTGAAATACAATTTTTCCAATGAAAAATTTTCTTTAAAAACAAAAATAACCAACTAGAACCCAATTTTTGTTTCAACCAAATCTTCCAGGATCCCAACTACCTGGTTACACCTGATGAGTGGGCATATTTGGCATTATATTCGCACACTGTTTACTTTCTCCAATTCGATTTTGTCAAGCAGCTATCATTCGAAGACAAAATCAAAGTTTTCAAATTCAACATGCTCCCATTAGCATATTTTGCTGGCCTAATGAGAACGAAAAACGAAAAAGGGGATTATATGTATAGCCCTGGTGGCCAGTCTATCTATCCGATTGCACTGCAGAATGAGTATAAGGATAATCATCTTCCTCTGACCACGCTTTGCTCGGAACCGGTCTCCCGTCTCTTGGAACTCGATGTCACTGATGAAGAGTATTGCTTGATGAACATTATATTCTTCTGTAATCCAGGTTAGTGTTTCTCTTTCAAGTTCGCAGGCATTTCTCAATTTTTGGCTACTTTTTAGGACTCCAAGGACTGTCTGAAGCAGGCAGTGAAATTCTCCATACCGAACATCGAAAGTATTTCGCTTTTCTCTTGGAGCATTGCAAACAGAAGCATCCAAAGAGCTTCATTCAGCGGATCACTGACTTGATGTCGTTTCATTCAAAGATAATAAACAATGCATCGGCGATGGAAGGACTATTCTCCCTGTTTCTTGCCAACAAGCCCAATTATAAATTCTATATGTTGATTGAAGACTCATTTCATCTTTGATATCTAATTGTTATTTTAACCTTGTAGTTGATAGAAAAATAAAATTTTTAATGAAGATTATGTAACAAACAAAAGAAAAAAAACAAAAAAATGTCAAAAGGAACTTCGGTATTCGAATGATTTATTGGTTGTTGGAAAGCAATAAATTAATCGAGCAACTCGGTCAGACGGATTTCCGATTCGGCAGATCCTGCAAGTTCCTTGAAACGGCTGCCAATAATTACTTGTATCTCATTGGAAACCGCGTGGATCCCCTTGGAGACCTGCAAAATTTTAATTTGATCAATGAAGATTTTTTCTACGATATCTCTTTCTAAAATGTCTGACAATGTTAATAAAAAACAACTCACAATCGGAAAATGCTCCTGGAAAATAGTGTTGTCCAAATTATCAAAGATTACGAAAGAATTCTCTGATCTCTCAGCAACCGCCAGAACCAGTGCCATTGCTCCTCTCGCTTTTTGTCCTCCCGAGAATTGTTCATGATAAACAAAGCCTCCGTCAGATTGGGACATGATGACTCCGTCTAGTGGGTTTTCTTCTAATTCCATTTTGAGAGAAACATTCGGCTTCTGGCAGATTTGTTGGTAGTTGCGTGTGGCCAGTGCTGAAATCGCTTCGATTGAACGTTTGACGTGGCGAATCCGTTTCTTATTGATCTGGAAAAAAATCAGTTATGCTTTTAAAAAGAAAAGAAAATACTAGCCTTCTCAATTTTTGCCTCCATCTCCTCAATGTTTGTGGTCTTGGCCATTTTCATTGGTTGTTTCATAGCTTGTCTCACGAAATCCTGCTTTTTCGCCTTCTTGATGTCTCTTCCCAACTCCTCACATTCCGCTTTCAAAGCCGAAACTTTTGGATTAAGAGATTCGAGAAGATTTAGAACCTCTTTTGGGTTCTCAATCATGTTGATCCAAGAATCCAAGTAGACTACATGCTCGACGGTGAGCTTGACGCCGATCTGTTTGAGTTCTTCGGAATATTCCGTGAATTCAACTTTGTCCTCGTTGAAGAAGTATTTGGAATTTCCACCAGATCTCAATCGACGAAAAGAGAAGTTTCCTCCGTTGTTGTCTTGGAAGGTGAGAGTCACATCTCCGAGTGGGTCATTGACAGAAGAATTTTCGTCCTATAAAAATAAAAATATCTTTATATTTTTTTCATAATTTTTGCTTTTCACTTTGTTTTGTTTATTAACCCGGTTTGTTCAAAATAAACTGTTGTTCTGACCTTCTTGTTGATCTTCTCCTCTTTTTTTTAAAGGACTAAGTTCTCCGGATATTTTAGCAAGCAATTTGGACACCCAACCGTTATTTTTGTAGTATTGATCCATCATTAGAAAGCCGGCTATGAGGGTGAAAATTTTAGGGGAAAAATAACATCCTAACGGCACGTGATTAGCATGTGAGCAATTTCATCGAGCATACGAGTAGAAGAATGTAAAGCACGTAATGTAGCTGTGGAGATTGAGGAAGGACAAGAAGGTCAACCAGAAGAGCTAAGAGACAGTCAAGGATATTAGCAAATAGAATCACTAAGATAATGATGACACCATCAAAGCGGGATGGTAAAATAGAAGGATAAGGGGGTGGCAGATGAGTTGGTCAAGAAGTGGAATGTGAAGCTGGTCAATCCATGACGATGGCTCCAGTATACTTGCGAAAATTGTTGAAGGCCCTGCCCGCAAGGCCCGGATGGGTATTTTTTGGTAAAAATTTATCAAAAAAAAATTTTTTTTTGATAAATTTTTGAGAATTTTTTAACAGAAATGTTTTTGGGAAAAAAACAGTTATTTGCTTCCAAAAAAGCATTTTTTTTCGTCCGATCTTACCTCCGGAAAAATGTCAGAAAAAAATTATTTTTCAAAATTTTGTTTAACCTTTCACAAATTCAATATTTACAATTTAGCTTGAAATTAGATCATAAAAACAACTTTTTCCAAAAAAAAACAAGCTTTTTTGCTTAAAAATCGAAGCTGGCACCAACTGTCCGGGCCTTCCGGGCCTTCCGTGCCGGGCCGGGCATTGACAAACTTTTTCAAGGCCCGGCCCGGCCCGTCGCAAGTATGGGCTCCAGGGAAGGAAGAGTTATAGTTGTAATTTGGTGTAGTTAATGAGAGTGAGTAGTTGGCCCCTGGCAAGAATCCTCCAACTCCATATAAAGGCTCCGAGTACTCAAGGTACGACACTTCCTATCCCTCTCCAAGCGCGCACATACTAAACAACACAAAGAAGGACCCCCTAACTTTCAACGTTGAGCGAGTTTTTCTCGGATTCTGTCGAAGATATATAAAAGTTGTCAACTGAAAAATTGTTTAACATTTCATCGAAAATATTTTGTCAATTAAAAAATTTTTGATAGTTTCCATAAGAATTGAAATAACTGAACTCAAATGTGGCGGACTGGTGACTTTTTCTAAACAGGTTTTACAATAATTGAGCCGAGAATAAATTCGATCAAAAAAGTTACTTTGTATACAATTCCAATAAATTAAACTTGTTTTTCTGGAAGGCCCTCGTTTTCAAAGGACCTCTTCACTTCCAGAGGACCTTCATTTTGGGATTGAAACGAAAAATCTATAATTTCCCTACCAATTTCCAACTATTTCGAATTTTAAAAATTTTCATTTGATTCTCAAAGATTCGTGCCTGAATTCCAAAACGAAAAAATTCTTACCGACAATGCAAATTTGATAGCTGAGAACAAGGTGGTCTTTCCAGTGGAATTTCCACCACGAACGGCATTAAACTTCGGCGAGAACTGGAAGGTCTTTCTGGTAAGTTTCCAGTATTTTTCGACACGAACAGCAGTGAGGATAGACATTGCTAACTGAAATAATTACTCGTGAAACAAATGGACAAGCTGAGGGCAGAGAGATGCACGAGTAAAAATTGCAGATCAAATATATATTCTAAAAATCAATGTGTTAGTTGTTTTGCTTTTGGATAGTAAAACAAGAAAAGAGAACGAAAAGAAAACAGAAAACTACAAAAATCCAGTGAAAAGAGCACTACATGAAGATGAGAGAGTTATTAAAGAGAAGAAACTGTTGAATAATACCAAGGAAGAGAAAAACGATTAGGGTTGCAGGTAATAAAACATTATTGGGGATTGCAGGTGAAAGGGGATTACTGAGTATGTTCCATTGATTAATGAATCAAAATAGGGTAACCCACCTGGGCAGGAGAACATTGGGATCCCTTTTGGGACGAAGTGATTTTTGGCCTTGAGGGAAAACACAGCGTTTGTAAAATGTCAAACAAAAACTAGCGTGATGTTTCGCTGAACGAATTTATTCTAGAGAAATCCATTTCTGATTTCCCGTTTTCACTTTAAGGCATCCTGAATTTATAGAGGAGCAGAAACCGTCAAATTTTTTTGACCATCTTTTCAAATGTCGGGATATCAAAAATTCTTGCCAATAATATCCATTCGGAATAAAAATTCCAGGTTTTTTAGTTTGTAAGTATCCCTTGATTTAGAATTGCTGATTTTACTTTTTTGAGATTAGACTCACTCTTTAAAAGCTAAAATAACGATAACTTACGACAATACATCTCGGGGAAGTTTGAAAATACTGAAACAATCCAAAACGAAAGCCAAACGGAAAATAACAAACAAGAACGGTTGAACATTGATCAAATCAAGGTTTTTTGGAGTCATAATTTTGCTGCGTCCTTTTGATGCTCATCCACCAAAAAGATAACCTTTGTCTTCCCACCTCCCTACCAACCTAGTGTGGGACGGTAGGCGGAGGTGTATTCCATTGTTTAGGCCAGGAGAGGTGCCGTAAAACCTGTATTAGAAGGGCCGGCCCTTCTATTGTTTTAAGGTACCTCCGGAGGGCTTTCCTATTACAGGGGCGCTTCCATATTTCCGGGAAGTTTTTTTTCCGAAATTTCGCATCTAGGATTTCAACGAACTTTCGTTCAAATTTCATGAAAATCTGCCAATTTCATCAATTGTTAGCAAGCTTTTCATCGAAAAATAGAGTTTCAGCAAATTTCTATCAAATTGTAAAGTTCCCAAAATATTTTCCGCTGAAAAAGTACGGAAATTTTCTGATTTCAAAACCCATTTTGAAGAGGGCTCCTTTTTTCACAGAAGGCCCTTTTTACGGTGTATTAGAAAATTTTTGGGCGCAATAAAAAATACACTTTTTTCTAACATAACTTGATGAAGAGGAATTCTCAAAATTTCAGATTAAATTAAAAACGGGAAAAAGCCTGAAGTTCTTTTTCAAACGGGCAAATTCGACTATTTTCTGCTGAAATCTTATTTATGACAATTTTTCAGCTAGAGCTACCGTTTCCTGAACTTGGAAATGACAGTAAATTTTATGAAAAAGATTATGTCAAATACTTTTTGAAGATGCAAGATTTCTCGATTAAATATACTGCAAAAACATTCGCCATAAACACTGTGAAAAACCACTGAAGACTTCCACTTTGAGCTTAATTATTCAAATTTCTACCAGTGATATCAAAAATGTGTCAACAGACAAAATATTGGTGGTTTTATGAGAAACATTTCATCAGTTGACAAACTTTTATTATCTCTTATAGCAATTGAGATAATTGAGCTCAAAATGCAAATATAGCATGGTGTTCTAACAAGTGTTTACGGTATTTTGCATGGTACTGGAAGAATTCAGAATTTTCAAAACTTTCTAAAGTTGTGAAAAGTGAGAGAAAAACGGCGAAATCCCAAAAATTGATATATTTTTCAGGTGAAGTACTAAAATTACAGAATATCGTAAGCAAACAAGTAAGCAAACATGAACAGGTTGATTCGAAACTTAAAGAAAAGATTGAGAAAGCATTCAGAAAATTCAAACTTTGGCGGGAAGTTCAAATCACTTTTCTGTACTATGTTTGTTTTACTTGAACGCGTTCAAAAAACATATCCGCGCCGCATATGTTTCTCTCTTTCTTCACACTCTTTCTCCACACTCACTGTCAAGCGAGAGAGAGAGAAAGAGACACAGAGAAAATGGGTATTGTTTCTAATAGATGTTTGTACTATTCAAATTCCTTGACCATCGAATTTGAATTGAAAGACTTTAAGCGGATCTTTCTTTTATCACTTTTCTCAATGTTCAAAAAACGATGAAAATCTTAACTTTTTATTGAAATTTTTTGAGGTTCCAATCAAAGCCAATACGGTTTTCCGCGGCACGCAATAAAAGAGAGACGCAGAGACAACAACAGCTATGTTCTCGTATATCTTTTTTATCATGCTTTTTTATCTTGCGCATTTTGCATAAAAGTGTTCGGTAAACATCATAAGTGATAGTTACTCTCAAATTCACCGATTTTCCGATTTTCCAATTATTTTCGGCTAATTTCGCTCTGCAAATTAGCCTGAGTGAACAATTATACTAACCAGGGAAGGTTGTAATCGGGGGTGGAACTTCGGTATAAGACCTATATCATTCGAAAGCTGAGAATGAACCATTTTCAAAAATGTGTTTTGTTTTTGCTGAAGAGCTACCTGTTTTGAGAAAATCAGGTTCGAAATAAGAGGGACCCCCCCCCCCCCCGATCACAACCTTCCCTAGTAAGGAGACAGAATTCTTTTGTTATATGTAGTAAATAGGTGACTTCTCAGTTATCAAAGCCGTGTGTATTACCGTTTAAATTTGACAGTTCAAATTAATCTTTCTCTCCCAATATTTTCTTACATTTGAGAGACTTTCAGCATCATTCAACATGCCTTATCTTCATTCGATCGACGTCGTCAATTTCAGAGATTTCCGGAACAGAACGTTCCGATTTGCTCCTGGATTGAATGTTATCCACGGAGCGAATGCGAGTGGCAAGTCGAGCCTCATTGCCGCGCTCAATTTCGGACTTACTGTAAGTTGTTTTGGGTATGGCATGAGAAAATGACACTTTCTGCGTGTTTTTTATATCATTTGATATGTTTACTTTGTAAATTGAAATTGAATGAGCTCCATTTGGACAGAATCATTTGTTATTGGGTGGTACCAGGGATGAGAAATCGGAAAATGAGAACTGCTACATATGAGAACTAGACTAATAAGAACTCGTTTTCCGGCTCTAATTTCAGGATCAGGATCCAACCTTTTTGAAAAATATTTTCGAAATGGTCTCGTTCTTCACAATACTTCAAGATTTTCCAAAAAAAAAACCCGTGTTTGCCATGTACTCTCCGAGTTCTTATTCGTACGAGTTTTCATATGTAGCAGTTCTCATTTTCCGAGTTCCCATCCCTGGTACCACCTGTTATTGGATGATTTTAATGTGAAAATTAGAGCGCGACACTTTATTCATGGAGTCATAGCTCTCTTACAACTATTCTGAAGACGAAAACCGTTTTTTTTCAATTTAAGCTCAACATGCTGAATTTTCATGGAAATGGCGATTATATGAAAACATCCAAAAAACTTGAAACAAAAATTGGTGAATGTCAACTTAGGGTATTTTCTCTAACTTTAAGCCACCCAAATTGTCAACTTTAAGCTCAATTATCTCAATTCATGTGACAGATGTCAAAGAGTTGTCAACTTATTAATTATTGACTATATTATCACCAATATTTTAGCAGTTGGCATGTTTTTGATATCTTTCACAGGAATCGAGATAATTGAGGTCAAAGTGTACAGTTCGGGTGGCAGGAAATATGGCAGGGTTAATTTTTTTCCTTGGCTTTAAGTTTACGTGACTGGAGTGTCTATTTCAAATTGTACGATATTCAAATTTCTATTTGTGATCTACTAGACATGGATTTTTGCTGATTTGTGTAGTAATTATGAACTTATAGATAAGAAAAATCGCGAGTTAGCCTCATTATTTTCATAGTGTATTCTGAGTTTTGAAAAATTTCAGGGATCGGATCCAGATGCTCACGGTAACGTCGCCTTGAGTTTCCAAGACGGTGAAACCGTCTTGAATCTTCGAAGAATGAAAAGAAGAAATGGAGAAGAAGCATACAGTATCGATGAGGATGTAGTGCCAAAGAGGGAGTATGAGGAGGAGCTGATGAGAATGGGCATCAACGCCATCCACCTTCCCATCATGATCCACACTGGGCTGGGATGGGAGAGGGTGGACCAGTTCCCGGCGAAAGTGTCGAAGACAATTGAAAAGCTCGAATCAAGAGCAGGAGAAATCTCCACACAGATGAAACTGGTCCGGAGACAGTTGAGAAACTCTCCGAGCTCGAGTCGGCGAGCCAAAGAGCTCAATGACAATTTGGAAGAGGTAAGATTTTCATTACGAATTCAATATACCTCAAACAGTTTAATATAGAATGCCCCCTTAAAACTCTCCAGGTTTATCCCACATTTTCAGTTGGCTTCTTTTTGATATCTTTCACAGGAACCAAGATAAATTGCCTGGAAATGTTTTGATCAGTTCAGTCATCAAGTCTTGATATTATGTAAAATTCATTTTTTTTCGTGTGTTTTGCAACTTGTTTTGGAAATTTTAAACATTTCCAAAAGGAATTATCCTAACAGCAACTTCATTTAAATCATTGAAGACTTTTCAGCTCACCCAAGAACGGAAGGTGCTCTTCGACACTCGCACCCTCCCAAACTTCAACAGAAGGATGCAGGAGTTCTACGGAATGTTGGTGGGAGATCCTGTGCAAGCAGTTGCGCTCCGTTCAGAAGGGAGAAGGACGGGACTGTCCGGTGTGGAGCTCAACATCGACCACGGGCCAAGAGGAAGAGGATTCGTCAGCGAGATGTCGAAGACAGAAAAAACTCGGGCTGCAATGAGTTTTGCTATGGCTCTGTGTGAAGCAACCACCAGTCGGTTGGCTGTCTTCGACGATGTCGACGAAGTCGATCCAAACGGCTTCAGACGGGTGAGTGACTATTGAGAACTATCAAAACAGTGATCATTGGAATCATTTCAGTATATGGATGGGTTGGAAGGCTGCGCCACCCGTCTCCAAGTCCTCGTGACCAGCCGTCATGGTGGATTTGCGAATATGGCTCCAAACAGTATTGTTTTGTAATCAGATGAGGGAGCTCCGTAAACAGAACATCCTTCTCATTTTACCCCAGTTTTTTAATATCATCCTCCTCCTTCTTCTCTCTCGTTTCAACCATTGTTTCCCTTATTTTTTCACGTTTTTTATATTTCTTAACATTCTCTCTTCTGTAAACGTTCTCAGTATCCATATTGCTCAATTCTCATTTCTTCTTTTTTGTACTTTTCTTTCTTTAAGCTCCTCTCCCCTCTTGCTGTACGGTCCCATGACGCATAGAATCCTCTTCCATTCATGACGATGCTTTTCCCCGATCCTTCCTCTTACCTTCGGTTCTCTTCTCATCGGTTCATTTGATCCCGCCACAGGAGAACTTTGATCGTCCTATTTTCTTCCCCGTTTCTTATCCTTTCCCACCATTCTTTTCCCCCTTAACTTTCTACTTTGATGTTATGCCAGCTTCCAAATAAATGATTTGTACTTAGGTTTGAAGCCATACACACGAGAACCTCGCCTGCGAGAATTAAAAAAATTATAATTGTTATAGTACAAAAGAATATTTTCAGCACAAACAGGTAAAAAATTATAAAAGCGAGCGATGAAAAACTGAAATTAGAAAAAAACGAAAATGATAATAGAAGAAGATAAAAGAACTAGGACAGACAAGTGGCGGAAAGTGAAAACATAGAATATGAGAAAGGAAACGTTCTCTTTCATCTTTTTCCCGTCTAGTCGCTAGATCAAATGTCCTCGATCAGTATCGATCTTTAATGCGCTAATATATGAACAGGGGTGATCAATTGAAGTTTAAAGAATAGGTTTTATCAGAGCGATCACAGTCCGAGAAAAACTCTCTATTTCATACATTTTCCCATGCCTCAGTCAGTTATTGTCCTAAAAGTGCATTGGTGCCGCATTCCCACTTCCGACACCTTTCCAATTTCCTACACATAATTATCCTTTTTCCTATTCCCTCATTCAAAAGTACATTTGGAATAGATGGGAAAATTGCCCCTTTCTAATTTGAGGATTAATCTGGAGCCAGTCCGTCTGTCTCTTTTTCTCTCCACCCTCCTACAACGAAGATGCACTTGTTCTTGCGGTTGTTTGCCTATCAAACGCGCTCCAATGACACTGTCAACTTTTGAATTTTAGTTTCAATTTTAAATCTTTTTTCATGCGATTTCATAAGTTTTTTGTAATTATAAATAGGTGTTTTGTTTTTATTTTTATTTTTTGAACAATGGTTAACTGTAAACCACCTGAAAAATTAACGTCACTACCACCAAAACAATCATTTATCAACACTTTTTTATTTTTTTTGTCATGTGTTTCTTTCTGATACATAAAAAGTTTTCTTATCAATGTGAAAAAAAAAACATCTGATCTATCCCATCAAATTTTGAAACGTTGGGAATTTCCGTATTGAATTTTTTTTCCTCATTCTTTGATTTTTCCAACCCTCAATTTTTAACTATTTTTTTCGTTATACATCCAGCGTTTGATCTCACTTCTAATTTTATTTTTCAGAACCGTAATGGTCCACATTCAGTCGGTCTACATCAGGAAATACTTCAGTACGAGTAGGACGCAGTTCGAGTTTACTTCTGGTGTGAATTGTCTTCCTGGGGGCAACTCTTCTGGAAAAACGACTCTCGTAGCGGCTATCAACTTCACTTTGCTGGTAAGAGAGTGTTTTGCAAAACTGGAATCTGAAAATTTAGTAGCCGTCGCTCGTTTTGATTTGAACGGCAGCGCGGTAAATAAGTAATACTTCGAAAAACTTTCATAGGAGGCCACCTCAGACTTGTAACCAGTGCAAAAATGTGTTAAAAATTATTTAAAAAATCTGTTAACTCACATCGGTCTCAAGACACGGGTCAGAAAAAGCGGTCATCAAACTCGTAGACCAGAAGAAATTTTATGATTTTTAAGTGTACTCAAATTTGATCTATTTATTTTGAATCCACGCGTTGATAATGGAGCTCAAAATTTACGTATAGGCCTTCTATTAAAGTGTTCACGGCAAGGTCGGTTTTTTACACAAATACAGATACTAGAGTGAAAACCGGTACTATATTGATTTTTCTGGAAATATACTCACCAAAAACATCACATTTTGTGCTCTTGTCTAATGTCTGATGTTTTGCATCTACAAATTTCGATAGTGAAACTTTTGACTAAATATTCTCAGAAATCTAATATTTTGAAAATTTGAAACTCATCAATTTTATTTCAGGGACCAGAATGTGAACGTTTCACTGACAAACGTGGAGATGTGTTTGTCAGCTTTTTTCTCGGCGATGAGTCTGTGACCTTCCACAGAATCAACGATGAAGAATCTGAAACATACACAGTGGACGGCGTTGAGAAGACTTTCGAAGAATACAAAAAAGACATAGAAGCCATTGGAATGAAATCTCAGCACCTCTCGTTTCTGATCAATTTCGAAAGCTACGAATACTTCGTAGAGGAGAGCAAAAAATTGGCAAATCTTGTGGAACTGATGAATCCAGAATCCGTGACTTTGCTGGAGGAGCGCGAAGAAATTATGGAACGTATGGAGCAATTATCAACAGCCAACGAAAGTGATACAGAAGCTCAATTGAAGCTAAGGCTCGAACAGGTAAGCAAAAAATTCATATCGCATTAAAACTTGCAAAAACTACTTGTTTTCAGATTTCTCGAGAGCGCAAGAATGTTTTTAATGCACTATTGCCAACTCTTTCCACCGAGCTCACAAAAAACTATAAAGATCTCTGTGCAAATAAAGAAGCTTCCTTGACATTGATCTCTCCAAATGCGCAATCTCCGAAGAAAAACCTTCAGTTGATAGCAAAAGATTCACCTTCCGAATTCTTCTTTGAATTCTCTGGGGGACAAAGGACAAAAGCAGCGATGTCAGTGCTTTTCGCACTTATAAAGGAAGCCGGCCTTCCATTCCTTATCATTGACAATATGGAAGACCGGGTTCATTATGAGTCGCTCGAAGAAGTGAGTGTAGATCGTTTGAGATTTATCTCTAGAGTTACAGTACCGATCAATAAGATACACAAAAACGTATTTTTCATCTGGTTTTCGGAGATTTTCAAGAGTCTGGTGCTCGACTGTTAAGTTTCCAAACGCTTCGAAAATTTTGGAGAACGTAGAACAAGCCAATTGAAAAATAGGTTTTTGTCTATCTTATTGACCGATACTGTATGTTAGCACTGAACTTTTAAACATTATTTGAAATAAATTGTTTTCAGTTTGCCAGCGGAGTCCAAAAGGTTGCCCACAGAGCAGGATTGCAATTGATCATCACTTCTCGCCGAACGAAATTCTCTGATCTTATTGGACACCACGTAAAATCGACCGTGTTTCTGTATTAGAATAATTTCTAGCTTTTCTGTATTAGAATAATTTCTAGCTTTTCTTTAAACTTCATTGCCCATGTCATTTGATTTTCATGCCTCTTTTCTGATTGCAATTTCAATTTGCTCGCTAATTCGTTGTATAGCCTTTATCTGACAAGGGAGGTCATTTTAGAAAGGCTTTCAGAATTTTCATATTTTTTGACACGGGTTAGTTGACCCGCTCAGAAAGCTCCTGTCAAAATCTATATATGCACTTTTTTCCAAAAATGCTGAAAATTTTTGTCTGAAGGTTTCCAATTTCTTAACCTTACTTTCCTCCGTTATTTTGCCTCCCGAAAACTTCCGGAAACACAGTTCACATGTACGCACTTACGCATTGTTGTTTTCAGCGGAGAGATTTGCAATCCTATTAGAAAGCTCCGTCGAGTCCGTTCTAAACTAGCCAAAGCTCTCAAAACAAACTCCTCTCCCGAATCTCAACTTGTCTCAAATTTTCGCCGTCGAATCAACTGTCTCTTCCGACACATCAAAAGCTCCAATGCACTCAAAGAGAAACGTATTCTGGAAACTCCCCATTCCATCAAAGCCCGTAATCTCATCTCGAAGCGCATCAAGTCAACAACTACTATTCCTCCCCTCAAGAATGGAAGCCTGCTGGCTATTTCAAATCCTGACAAAGCGTCTCTATTCGCTGAAACCTTCAGATCTAATTTCC